CAGCTAGATGGGGAGCAAGAAATGCAGTGCAAATATTCCTTAAAATACTAGTTACCTTCTCTGAGATCTTAAGAAAGGCTAGACCAGCCACAAGATGTATAATTTCACAATTCATCTTTATCCATTAATGTGTAAGGAAGGAAATAGACGAGAGATGGTTTTCTGTCACAACCATATCCAAAGGAAATACAGACAGGCTGCCAGCACAGAGGTGTACTGTTATATTGAATGCCCTAGAAATCTAAACCACCTAATCCCACACGCTAAATGAAGCATGTACTCACAAAATAAAGTCAATATGGGCTGTAGGAAGCTTGACTTTGCAGAAATAGAGCAGCTATAGGCAGTCCCTTCCAGAAATGTGGGTTTCACTTTCACACTTGTTTTGCATACATATATGAATAATGACCAACCATCCATAAGTACAACACTAAAGTCCATAAGCACAAGACAGAAATTAGGGGGTAAAACATTCACATTTCTTAAAGCAGTATTAACTCACCCATAGTATACAAACAGCTTTATATAAAAGTCACTGGAGCAAATGCTATAAAAGCCTAGGTGACAGGATAAATAATGTCATAAGCCAAGACCTCACTCTTGTAAAGACTACAAGCAGTCTTTCCAAGACACTGGGTCTTGACTTTGTTCACGTAAAACACAATGCAAGCCTGCAAAATTCAGGCTGCAGCTGGGTGAACTTTATGGGACATTATGTTCCTAATCCTATGTTTAGTTTAGTTTTTAGCACTCTCCTCCTTCTTACATCCCTCTGTGAGGACACTGCATTTCATTACGATTCTACCTCCTCCCTTATGTCAAGTGCTGCAATTTTGAATTGTTTCTAAATTTGCAAGTGCAAGAGGAGAAGGGAAACCAAGAATATGCATACAGCCATTATTTGAGTAACATGTTGCAAGTGAAACCCAACTGGTTTGGAGACATCTTTGTGAGCAGGACTTCCGCATTCTTTATGCATCCATATAGTTCTGCTTACTGCAATGGCTGAACAGGTCTTGTCAGAGCTCTTTTTATTTTCCCCCACTTTTTTTTTTTTCCCCCCAAGAGCTTTTGTCCCAAATTTTTGTTAAGTCTGTGGAACTGGGCAAGCGTGGAGGGAAAATGAATAATTGAAAGGTCATATTATCCTGTAACCTTAACCTTAAAGCTTGCTGCCACAGAGACAGTAAAAATCAGATTGACAGACATGAACCACTTCACAGTCATTCAGTCAAACAACTGGACGTGTATTAAAAACACAAGAAATACCTGGACATAGGCCCTGCAAGAGCGCTCCCTTTTCTGAAGCTGAGTCCATAAAGACAGCAAATTAAAGACGGAATAGAAAAAACAAGTTAGTGACAGAACAAGGGGAAAAAATTGAAGAAAATGCCTACGTAAAAACCTCATTTCTCTTTTAAACAGCTCCTAAAACCCAACCAAACCAAAGGAAATATGTGAATTAGGCAGCAATAGAAGGCAGGAAGGACGGGATCCAGAAATACAGGTTAGTCCTTTTTCAGTAAAGCCCACACATGCAGCTTTGCAAGAGTAGCTGTTAGACGGTGGGAGAAGTAAGGTGGAGGTACTCGAGAGACCACCTTTCCTTGGAAAGCACACATGATATACCCATGTCAAACTAGGCTAGAAAAGATGAGCTAACTGTTATTTACACGAGAGAGGTGTGGGCTCTGTGCAGTTGGAGAGTGCTGATGGCATGTTGAGCTGTAGCAGAGCTTTGGACAAGCAGGGAGCAAGCTGTATGCAGGATAGTAGTGGGGACTCATCCTGACATGCGTGCTTAATTCTCTGGTTCCAAGCAGAGCCTCTCATGGCCCAGCTTTGTGGTCATGCCTAGAACTGCAGGAGAGTGCACTGCCCCAGAGATTCTGAATGCAGAAAGGGCCACCTAAAAGGTTGCAAAAGAATGACATGCGGATCAGATTTAATATTTCCAGTTGAGACCATTTTCTCCTCTTTAGATTAAACTGCTTCTTAAGGGCTAACCTTTCCAGTTCTCTTTCACATTGAGTTGTCCTTTCCTTTGTAATTACTAGACCTAAACACTTCATATGCTGAATAGCTTTTCCATAAAGAATCCCACCTTTATAATAAGAGCCACATTTAAGACTGTACGTTGATATGTACTTGCATGCCTCCTACCAGATAACTGCACTTCAGCGTGTCATGAAATTCAAATAGGCACTTATTTACCTCGATGGGACTTAGCAGGCTGTCTGCAACAACGAGCAAACATGAGACTGCTCTGCAACAGTGCAACTAAAGTCTGGCTGCTCAGAGCTGCTGTCTTTGCTGGGTTGTGTTTTGCAGATCTACCTGGGTTGAAAATGGAGATGGAGAATCTCCAGGGAGATTAAAGGGTGACTTGTACTCTCAACTCATGGCAGTGCCATCCCATTAGTACAGCTGAGAGCCAGATTTGTCCCTGAGAGTTCTGAGGCTCCGAAACAAACAAAATACACCGAGGTATTGTGCAATGCCTAATTTCAATTTCTAATTCATCAATTTGTAACAGTGGAAATCTTCCCCTGGGTAAATGTGGCCCTATGAAGACTTTACAGACAAATGGAGATCAAAGAAAGCCATGCTGGAAATTACAGAGCTATCCACTCGGGGGTCTCACCAGTCTGCTATACAACAATTATTACCTTAATTAAGCCTGATCCAGTGGAAAGCATAAAGCTTTTAGTGACAAGAAAGTGGCTCCTGAAAGATGATGGCTTTTAAAAACTCTGATTATGCCAGTTTATTTCAATTCATTGTACATCAGCTTATAAAAAAAAAAGACAAAAGTAAAAGAGCACAGGTGACTACTTTCAGATGGAGCATGAAGGCAAATCCCCAGCACATTTCCTTTAATGACTGAAAGAATATTTAATGGCTAGTGCTCACTTTATTTCTCCTTTCTGACCAAACAACACTAACTAAAACTCCTTGCAAATGAGTTTTTCCTTTTTTTTTTTTCTTTCTTTTTTTTTTTTTTTTTGGAAATATTCTTGATCAGCGAAGGGGAAAATGGAGCAGTAACTCTGCTGCCTTTTGTTTGCCCAATACTACTTCCAAGCCAAATTCATGCATTCTTAAATGAACACAGAACAGTTGCTCTTCTAAAGAATTAAGTGGGGAATGAGAGCAAGTAAATTACCGAACCTGTCATTTGGATCACTGATTCGCGTCGCTGTTTTGCAGGACTCCACACGGTCCAGAATTTTAATGTGGAGTGCAATTGATTTGTATAAGCTGCTTGTGCAAAGCTGTTGGTGGATGAAAAACCTGCAAAGGGAACCACAGGAGTGACAGCAGAGCTGAGTGGCTCTGCCTCACCGAACCTGTCAGTCCCCTTGGTAACTCCCACCCGTCACCAAGACACAGCCCCATTCTGTGTAATTGGAATGAACAGCAGGAGGTGGGATTTAAAAGATGAAAAATATGTGCTTGCAAAGCTGAAGTGACAAAATGTTGGGTGTGGCTAGGGCATATTCAGAAGAGCAAGCAGACTACAATCATGAAACCTGTTAGTAGGTGACATTAATTGCTGGTTTTACCTGATATTGTCAGATATCACCATAATTTCAAACAAAACCATGGTTTGATTATAACGGAAATGTTATGCTGATGTAACAGTTAATACAATTATTTCTGACACGGTTATAAAATAGCTGGAAGCAGCACTAATTACAAGCATCAGGATAACCCAATTCACAGCACATGCAAAGCACATGATATGCAGGACGACTTCAGTTCCCACGCAGCTGTAATCTTAAACAATCCTGAAGCCCTTCACATTTAAAAGAGAATATGTCAACAGTAGTATCTTACAACAAAAAGACAATGTTACTTCACTGAAAAATACGTCTCGTCTGAAGACATGGAAGAAACTTCAAGCTTATCTGGGATAATTTTTTCCCTGTATAACCTCACAATAAAATTCTCTTTACATTTACATGGATGCCAGGACTGTCAGAGCCAGCTACATTACTAACAGCAGAATTTGGGGTCTTTTCTTAAGTAGGTGGCCAATAGAGCCGTATGCTGGTAGCCACAAGGTTCAGTTGGTCATTGTTCTGATAACAGGCCTGCACAGCACAGTGCTTGAATTCCAAGTAAGTCTTATCCCATGTGTTTACATGAGATTCTGTGATGAAGAGGGCCCTAGTCTAAGGAAACCCTACATTTAAATATATTCCTGCAGACTCCACGGCCTGTATTTTCTCCCACAACTGGCAACTTCTAGCGCCTTTAATATGTAGCGAGTACATTTAACTCTGGCAGAGGGCAAAGAAACCACAGAGTCATCATGTAGAAAAGTGCTTCTGGGCTATGTGATAGGCAATCATTTCAAAGGCCCTCTAATACAAAGTCGTCTTCAGCACCTCAGATGTAAATATGCTGACATCTTATGTTTCTTTGATAAATGTATCTCAAGTGTAAATAAATTTTTGCTTGCTTTTATTTGTTTATGTTTATGCATACTAGAGCCCATTTGAACTTCACATTCAGCATTTTTTGACGTTACACAATGAAAAATCAAAAATCAGACTCTGCGTTTTTGGGTTTTAAAAATTCAGATTTTCTAGTTTATATTACTCAGACAGATTCAGTACTGGAAATGCTACACAAAATTCTGGTCTCAGTCACACTGGCACAAATCCACAATAATTGCCATGGTATCACTTGACTTATTCTCATACTGAGCTATGAGAGCTGAGACCATGACGAAGTACCTGGAATTTATCCATCTACACATCTAAGGGTATACATTTCCCAGCACCAACAGTACACTCGGCATTTACAACTGTTTCATTCCTCAACAGAATAAAATACACTGTAAACAAAAACTGCCAGGTACTCTTGTCTACTAAGAAAAAAATCACTGCCTTCAAATGGCACCTGTTCAGAAAGAGATTTCTAGTAGCTCTCCAGGAACAGCCAAACCTTTCTCCAGCCTTTCGTCCCTTCCCCAGGACCTTTGTTCTTACCTTATTCAAGCTGCGTGCAGCACTGTCCTTCCCACCTGGCGTCAGGTTTCGGAGCTGCACATCAAGTAAGTTCACCAGTTGAACCATGGCAGACACGGAGTATGTGATGTCACCAGCATACAAGTGGTTTCTGGTGTGCTCCGCAAGCTCTCGGGCAATATTGGCAGCCATCTCTCCTGACTTCATCTGTAATGGAGAAAGCAGGATAAAAGGTTGACCCTTAGCGCTTAGTTTGACATTAATCCAGTCCTCTCAGCCTCACAGGTTTAAGTGAGTCAGTTCTTTGCAAAGCAACGCTCTCAGGAAGGAAACATGTATGTAGACTCTCCTGTCAAGAAAGAGCTGATTCTGATTCCAGAAAATTATTTGATAGTGAATAGGTGATTCCTGTTACAACTCCCGGACAAAAAAAGTTCCTTGCAGAAGGAACAAAAATAGATGACACAGCCCAGATGAACAAGAGAAAAAATACTGTCAATTCCCATTACATGGATTTATTAAATAGGCACTAGTTTAACACTTAGCACTTGCACACAGGAGATGTACTCCTCACCACAATGGCTGCCACTTCTGTAATAAGCCTAGTGATTCTTAGCTTAAAAGCATACTAACTCAGGAACAAAAGGCTTAAGGCTTCAAACAAAGGCCTGTAGGAAGGGAAAATCAAGTATGCTGTTTGGCTGTATTTCCTACTAAAAGATTTTTATTACCTAATTGAGTCATAAAATTAATGAATCACCTGTAGTGGAATTCACTGCATAATTATTTGGGAAGTTCTTTTTTTTTCTTTTTAATTTGAGGTTTTTCACTTTTTTACTGGCTCTGTATTGCTCTCCTATCCTTCTGCCCTATCCCTTCTTGTTCCACAAGGACTTAGGGTAGAGCAGCTGGTCCTATGGCCTTTCTATAAGCAATTCACCACAGAAGTTCTATTGCAACTTTCTGATCCTTCTTCATTACATGCTACTCTGATCTGGAATGCATATCCATGGGGAATATGTCAGGCATAAAGAGAAGTTACACAGGATGACATTTAAATGAAGCCCCAATTCTCTGTCAGGCTCAATGACCAACTCCACTGTGTTCTTCACATGAAATTTCCAATTGTTTCATCTTCCAAGAGTTAGAAATCAGATATCTATCTTCCTCTCTCAATATCTGGTGCTTATTATAAAAACAGGATTCTAGGGAAATACTGCAGGCAGAGCTTCTACCTCCCAGTAAATCAATTAGCTCAGTTATAAATGAATAACTTACTTCCATCAATTTGACAGCAACAGCCCATCTGATTTAATGAGAACTAACTGAAGATGTTCATATGCTCATCTTCGGAGAATTAAACCATATGATGACATAGATAAGACAAATAAAGGAGATAATGTGGTGTTCTTCCCAATAGAGCAATGATAACATATATTCAAAAACTGAATTATTTCTTCTTTATTACACACAAAGCTAATGCCATAGAAACCGGATTGTATCCTTATAGCTGCCTGTTTTCCTAAGCAGCTGAAGAAGGCCACTTGTCAGCATAGAGGCTAATTTTCGATCTCTTCTGTTGGTACCCATGACATTAAAGAAGAACTCCATCAAATTCCTTTATGTAAAAAAATCAACTTCAAGATTTTCCTGCAATTTGTCCCTGAAGCTTAACGTGTATCATGACAAATAATGTTTTCATAAACATTACAGAAAATTGCAGAAGTGCAAGTGCTTTTGCTCAGAAAAAAAACTGCTACTCACATTTGATGTTTACATTTTCTCTTGGATGTATCTTTTCAGACTGCCCTACTCAAAAATAATTGCTCAGTTGCTACAAAGGGAAACCCAAGAGTGTTCTTTTCTTGGAACAAGGCTCTTCTACTGAACTGCAAGTTATCATTGCTCCTACCTGTCTGTAAAAACAACGTGGGCTGATCATTAATAAATTCCTTTCCTTTTATGTTACGCTGATCACCAGTTCTAAAAACAACTTTGAAGAATTCTTGTTTGACCAAATAAAAACCCTAAAATTGAAGAAAGGCCTGAGAAAAGGCATATTAATACTCAACATTTGTCAAGTCTTGGGTCACAAACTCATTTCAAATTTCCTGATGCATCTTTGGACAGTGTGTCTGGTTGAGGGACTAATGACCTATATCCTGGCACCACCACTTAATTCCAGTCTTCTTTCTTCAGTGTCACCCAGAAGCAGCAGCTACAAGCCCCCACAACAGAGCTGAGACACTTTTCCCATCCTGCCTATAAGCATATTGCAAAGAGTACCCAATATGATGGTCATATGACATGGTAATGCCAGCTTCCCTCATTCTTTTGAGAGCTTCACGTGGAAGCTCTCTGTGCAGTGTTTTCCATGCAGTTTTGACATAGTCACCACATCCACAGGAAGTGGCAACAATCCTACAAGGTTCTTAGAGGGTCAAGTTGTCACTGCAAGGCAGGAAGAAGTAGAGAAAAATGCATAAGTAACTCTTTCTGACTTGAATCTTTTTTTTTTTCCTGCACTGACTGTTAAAAAATTAAAATTCGAAAAAAAAAAACCAAAACAAAAAAACAGCAAAGAGTGGATTATGGGATAAGAGAAAGCATTCTGTTCAAACCAAATTTAATGTCTGGTTGTTCTGGGTGATTTTTAGCTTTTTTTGCAAACTGCTTAAATCTCGTCTTGGAATGCTAATTTGAAGGAAAGAGAATGCTTTTCCTGTCAAAATCCAAACACACAAAACAGATTCTTCTGTCTCTGTCAGAAACTGCTCCCCCTCTTTCATGTGAGCATGCTGGCAGGTTTCTACCTAGTCTTATAAATGAGCACTGACGCACCTGAAACTGCACTGTGCAACACTTGCTAACATTTTCCTAGTTTGCATTACTCTCTCTCTTATTCTTACAGCCGAAATGACTGTGAAGTAATAGTTGTTAGATAGGGCATAAATTCTTGCCTGCTTCATATACTCAAAGAAGAGAATTAGTAATAGTAGCAGAGTAAAGCAGTGGAACAGGTTACCCAGAGATGTGATGGAGACACTCAAAGTCAGGCTGGATGGGGCTCTGAGCACCCTGATGTAGCTGTAGGTGTCCCTGTTTCCCAGATGGCCTTTTAAGAGTCCCTTTCAACTGAAATGATTCTATGAATTATGGAGTTTTGTTTGGAAAGGCTAACAACTCTCCTGCAGCATGTTTGCTGCTTCATTCCTACCTTTCTCAGAAGCGATCAACTGCAGAAGAGGTCAACAGAATAAAAATGGGGGAAACTGCAAAGAACAATTTATGAAAGAAAATTCAGAGGAAATAAAAGATGCTGGGGAAGAGAGCAAGTGCGCTGAAACATCAGTGGCAAAAATATTTTCCTGCAGCCTGGGGCTAACAATGATATAAAAGGAGGGTATGAAAGTCTGAATGAGGATTTTTAAACCAGTGGCTCACAGATGGATCAGTCAGCTCCAAAGACCACAGAGTTGATGTCACTTTCTGAAGGGACAAACATCTGACAGGTTTCATCTGGCACCACCAGCTGCCAGCATGGGGCTATGGGGCAGCTTTCAGTACTGCCAAGACTTCATGGCCATTTTGTTTCCCTAGCAGAGGTTTCATTCATGCAATATGGTCAGAGCACATCTACCATCCTTTTTCTGAAGAAGAAAATGACATTCCACTCAACTTTGCTTTTTTCCTTTTCTTGGATGATAACTAAGGATATAACTGACACGTTACAAATGCTGGCTGTCCAACAAAGAGGTGTATGGCAGTTCTCTACAGAGCACAACAGACTTAGAGAACAGTGAAAAACTGTATTTGAAATTATATTCAAACAACTTTCAGGAATCTGCATTTAACATCCCATTACTAATGTGCCAGCTGCAGCATCTGCTGCTTCAAGTACACTATAATGCATTGAACACAAACTGGCAGAAGCATCCTGGATGTAGTATTGCACTGTGGTATCATTAAGACTTTGCCTTCACCCTTAGGCCTGGATACTCCTGGAGGATGTAACACTTCTTATTCTACTAGAGAGGTTATTCTCTCTTTCAGAGCCTCAAAATTGAGCCCAGTGGGGCCTCTCCCCCCCAGGAATCACCTACAACTGAGAGCCGCAGCAAGGAAAGACATTTTCAGGCATATCACATACTGCGCAAAGGCCAGTACTGATGAAAGCAAGAGGTAAAACAAACAGGCTAAGGCTGAATGTATGACCTCATGATTAGAACGATGCAATGTATCCAAAGCTGACCTTTTTGCTTCCTTTTACTGCTTCAGTATAGAAATAACCCACACAGCAGTGCATAATTCAATAGCCCTGGCAAGTTTATTCTCCTGCAATGTTACGAGGGCATGGTAGGCACCAACAATAAAGTTAAAGTAAATGTCAAGGGGGCAATGAATTGCTGAAGCGGACATTTGTTCTGATCTTCCATCAAGCACAATAACTCTAATGGAAGCTAACAGAGAGTTGTAAAACCTAATACTATGATGCAAGCAGGCAAAAACCCAATGTACAGCCTGAGCACAGCAGGAAAAAGAAAAGAAGAAAGTAACAATCCTTACTTCACTATAGATACATGAAAGCAAGTATGGCATTCCCCTGCCATTCCTTCTGGTTTGGCTGAAAGGGAATCCCATCATCCTTCTTCCTGAGCAGTTTGGACCCAGCAGGTTGCAGTAAGAATTTCTGAGGCACACAGCAGACAAGAATGAAGACACAGTGGGTAGGAATAAATCTTGACTGCTTAAGTGTTCCTACCCATTTTGTATGCAGTGCTATGATTACAGAGGCAGTGGGATGGGTGACCAGGGAGGATCTGAGAGCTGGGGACAAAAGGAGAGCTCAGCTGCAGGTGACAGACATACCCTACCTCCATTGCATGGCTGACTTCTGCTTCCTCCAGCTGGCCTCACAGCATCCAGAAGGGGAGCTGGCTTTGGCCTGGAGGAAGAAGGCTCCTTTATCAGCTTTAGAGAGCCAAAGGAGCAGGTTCAGAGCAGTGGTGTCCTGTCCACAGTGGGGAAATATGAAACCAGTGACCAGTGTACAGATATACCAGTCCCTGACTCTAAGCATAGTGGTGATTTAAAGCTCCTCACTCAGGCAGGGATACCATGTGGCTATCGGCTATTTCACAAGTAATTTGAAATCCAGCTTTCCATAGTGGTTAGACCACATGGTCCCAAGATCCCAGCCACCCAGGAACAAAAAGGTTAGACCCAGAGCTGTCTGTCAGACACCCCTAGTCTTCCCACCAACTTGTGAAAGGTTCCCGAAGTTGAACATAGCTAAATTCCTCCAGAAAAAACAACACTTTCTTCCTCTTCCACCCCTCCCACCCCCCAAAAAAACCCCAAACCCACAAACAGTCCCAGTTGTGGCCTGCTGGGCATCTCTGAAAACCTGGCTCTTCAATTTTAGCCTGCTTTGAAAGCGCATAACAAATTAAATGGGGCTCATTTGTTACGCAAATGATAGCTGTGGTTTCAAATAAAGTAAGCCTAACCTTGATGGAAATTTCATCAGTGCAGGCTATTATTTCCCTCTGCTAATGGCTAATGGCCTAGCCATCTTCACTGAGCAGCAAGAGGTCTCCCAGCCGCCTGGGTGAATTATGACTGGAGTAAGCAATATTAACCCCTCCAGGATAAGTACGTGGGTCATAAAACAAGAACTGCACAGCTGCTAATGGCAGCAAAGGCAGTCTTTATTAATCAGCTAGCCTGAGCATGTGGCAGGAGAGCTGCCCACTCTCCTGTGCGGGACAAAAGCACCAGGAAGTACCAGGGGCTTCCTAACAGCTGTTCTGTGTCACTGTAGCTTTGCCTGAATTTATATCTTTCCCTCATTTTGGGGAGGCATAGGTATAAACACAGACTAAGTGGGATAGGATTGACTGGGGATGTAAATGCTAGTTATTCACAGGTTGTTGAGATGCTAAGATGGGAGATGGGGAGGAGAAAGACAAACAAGCTCATCTGTAAGGTCACCTGTTCACCAGTGAGCACGAGTGTTCCTGGAGTGCAGCAGTGCTGCTTCCGTGCTGCAGCGCAGCTAGCCTGCAACACTGGGACTTTCTTGCTCCTGCTAAAGGAGCAAATAAATCCACACAAATTGCTATAATAAGGATTCAGCCCACAGACTCTGTGGCGTAAACACACATCTGGTCTCTGTTTGTAATGAAATCAGCTGAAAGCACCACTGTGCATTAATAACAAAAATGTTCAACATATTGCTACCAAATAAGCTCTGCTTGTCTTGAACTTCCATTGTCACATGTTAATGCACTTTTAACAGTGATAAATGATGAAGTGCTACAAAACATTCATCAAGGGACTTAGGAGTAAAAAGTAACGCATTACTGCAGTGTTATTTTCTATTCTAGTAGTCCTTTTACAGTTCGGGAAGAAGTTAAGAACAAAAAGTCAGTAGCACAATGCAAACATTTCATACTGAGCTTGCCTTTCTCCAGTACAGATTTCTCAGCTACAGGATTTATCCTGCATTGCATGGAAGGAGAAAATCCCTGGGGATGCATGCAAAGGAAAGTTTCCTTTTGCAATAAGTTGGCACTTTCATATGTCCACCCACCACCTCCTCCTCCCTCTTCCTCCTCTTCTTGCCACAAACAAGAACTGTCATTCATTCTACATTAATTCCACTCTCCAGCTCCTTTTCTTTGCCTTTCCTTCACCCTCTTTCCCTTAATTTCCAGGTTTTTACAGTCCTTCTTTCTCCTTGCAATTCTTAGCTACTACAGATTGCTCATGCTTTAAGAGTAATTGTTGGTCACTTTGGGTTCTCTGCTGTGAAACAGCCAAGGAGCTGAGGAAGGCCAGCACACAGACTCGGTGTGGGGAAGGTTTTACCTTCTGAGTGATGTGGTTGATCCAGGGAGAAGAGCAGTTGCTGAGATCTGGTCCCTGGGGCTCCCAGATTCCATCTGGTGCAAGACACCGGAAAGTTGCAACACCTGGAAAAGGAAAGCCACTGTGTTCAGTGTTACTGGTCACATACTCCACTTCACCAGATAAAAACTATGGACAGAGGGCTTTGCCTCAGGTCAGGCAGGAAAAGTTCCAGGCAGTAAGAAAGCGGGGCTGGATCTCAACCACTGACCCAGTGCCCCAAGTGCTGGCCTAGCCATTTTGCCTGCTCTGCCCCACCACTAGTATCTCAGGATCAGATCATGAGCTTCTTCTTCCTTGTCCCCTGATGTTTTATGAATATTTTACTGCTCTGGATTTTCATTAAACCATTTGGGTGGAAAAAATAAAAAAAGTTTAAATGCTAGAAATGCTAAGATTAATGCTGAGTTTTATCATCCATCCCTGACCATCAAGACAGATGTTAGAGGAGAGTTCTGTCTGGCACGAGCCTCCCAGATCCCAGCTGCAAAAGACAGTAAAGAGACTCGGGACAAAGAGAAACACATCCAAAATGGTGCAGTTAAAGACTTCTAAAAAACAAGACAGCAGAAAGCCAGTACACAGATGAAAGACTCTGCATCCTGTAAAGCGCTCTGCCCTGCAGAGCCAAACTTTTCAACGGGGCAGTGAATTACATACTAGGTCTGATGGCAGTGCCGATTAAAACCAGTGAGGGTTTGCTGATGCCTTCAAAGGGAGTGGGAAGAGGCCCACTGCTAATGTACCACAGCTTTTAACAAATAACATGAATCACTGAAAACAGAGATCAGAAAGGCTTATTGCCTACTCCAGACTGTCAACAAGCTGGGTCTGTTCTTTCTTATTTTCTTAGCTATTTTCATGCAGTCCTTTGCTCTTCTGCTCAGAAAATAGCTCTCTGCATCCGACATTCATTTTCCCTTTCTATCATTTTCCCTTCTTGCAGTTTCAGTTCAGACTACCTCTTCCTCTCTCTGGGAACCACACAATACCTTTTGCACACCTAATTTTACCAAGCAGGGCTGAGTAAAAACATTCCTTACCTACTCTCACCACTGATGTCTTTCCATGACTCTTATACTTGAGGTACATTTTATCACCCTGATCTCACTGAATTCAAGAGAGAATCAGAATTTGAATACACAGGTGTGAATGGCTCTCCAGGGCAGTGGAGTGGAGAATTAATAGTCTCCTCCGCAAGCCAGATCCCTCCAGCCCTTATTTTCAGGCAGTTTCCTCCATCTTCCGATTTCTTCCTGGCAAGCAGGTTCTCAGGGCATGACACCAAGACTAGCTTGAAAAATAAGTTCTTTTTGAAAACAGCATTAAAATAGAGTAAACTAAACCATATGCCAAAGCCCATTATTTAGTCAACTGTGTTCTGATTTGGACAGAAAATATCCATAAGCAAACTTTTGGGAGAAAACAACTGAGAGAAGAGTAGAAGAAAAGAAGCAAGATGCAACAAGCTGTAAACCGTTTTGAAAGGTTTGGCTTTGTTGCCACTCTACTTTCCCTGCTGATGGCACCAGATACTGGCTGTTTGGAAAAATCACTCACATTGGTTGAGAAGTCCAGTCAGGGAATACCTGTGCTCAGAAAGGTTAGCCATAACCTTTGGAATGCAAACAGTGAGGTACAGAGTTTTGGTAAAATACATGTTTTGTTGTTTTTTTTCTTCTCCAAACAAGTGAAGTGTCAGCCACCAACATATCAACAGTGAGTCCAGAGGCTACAAATACAGGCAGGGCAGGGATAACAGGTACACTGCATACAGCTTATGGAGACAAGATTTCCTAGAGTGCATCAAGCTCAACTTCACAAGTTAGCTTCACCTCTCCTTCAGTGAGAGTCTAGAATGACAAGGATCCTGTGCAACGTGCTTAGCATACAGAGGCATAGGTCAAGCCATAATCCAACAAAGTAACACAGAACTGACAAAGGGCAGCAATGTACTGCATTGTTGAAAGTATGTATGCCACAGGAGCCCAGAGCCAACTTGATAACACACTTGCAGTATCCTACAGACAAATGCAGATGGCTTGCTGTGTCCTCTCAACCCTTCACTCACCTATTGAGCCCATGGGACACGGTTGCTTTGCCATTTGTCCCTGCCGGGTGCGAGACCACATAATATCACGGGCTTCCATAGGGTCGCAGCTCTCGGCACCAGCTGGGGGCAGCTGGGAGGAGGCAGGTGGGAGGTGTGTGGTCATCTCATCAGGGACATCAGCCATGGGCGAGGGCATGCTGGTGCTCCTGTTCCTCCTGCCCAAAGCCGAGGTGGTGGTGGGGCGGCCAGTGCTGCTGGTGGCCGTTCGTGGTGTGGTGCTGGCAGTGGTGCTCGCCGGGCCCAGTGCCCCTGATGTTGATACCCCTGAAATAGAGCCAGAGTCAATTAAAGGCAGTCAGGAGCAAAGGGAGACACTGTGCACCTAAGCCTCGACCCAAGGATGCCCCATCTGACTGCCACCCAGAGCGGCCTGCTGGATATAGCAGGAGCTACAATTAGAGCAGCGCTTGCTGCCTTTAAGAGGGACACAGCTAGGGAAGTACATACGGGAGTAATGACCCCCAGTGCAAAAATGATTTTTCAAAAGCACTAGCATCTGATAAAAATAAAGCAGAATTTCACACCCTCTCCATTTTTCTTTCCGGCATTTTAATGTATAAATCTTATTTTCTGTCTTTTAGGGAGCATCTAGCACAGAAGCGCTTTTAATTTTCTATTTTTGTTGCTGAAAGCCCAGCTGGTTTGATCAGGAAAATACAATAAAAAAGCTCTTCACTACAAACCCATCTCCCAAAATATGAAGAATGGCAGCAGAGGGAAGGATGGACACAGGACACTCTCTGGAGCAAGCTGCTCATTTTCTCCCTCATGCCTTGCAGTCTAGTCCTGACACCGTGCTCGGCCCCTCAAGCAGCAGACTGTGTGGCAGCACAAAGGCACACAACAGCCCAGCCACATCCTCAGGGGTGTAATCCTCAGAGGCTATTTCATTTAAAACTGGAGCTGGGCATCCAGCAGCAAGAGGTGGAAAACTTGCTTTTGAAATGCATTAACCTGTCCTGCACTCTGCTACAGCTGTGCTAAGTGTAGTAAATACTGAAGACTTTGTCTCCTAATTAGACCAAGGTCTTGGCACTGTTTGCACATTTGCATGGACTTCTTCATCTCTTGTCCTGAAATTTCAGGTGGGAAAACCAAGTCAGGCTCCCTCCAATTGTCTTACCATGTCCCCCCATACCCAGCTCATACAGAATGCTGCTTCTCCCATCTTCCAGAGATAAGTGTCCTCCCGCCTCTCTTAACATTAACATTCTACTCCCACCAAATGCTAGACTTTCACAACTGCCCCACCAATCTCCCCAGCAGTATAGGCACAGCAAGCCAAAGGAGGACCTATGGATAGCCATCCTCCTTGTCTGATACCTGTCCCCCTCAAATTCCCATGCCACAACAGCTCTTTAACATCCCATTCTCCCAGCAGCCAAAAATCTCTCAGCGACACAAGTCGTTTCACATCCAGCAAAAGGAATTTGAGTTTTTATATTAAAGACAGCCATGTGTGAATGCCAGCCTAGCCAGAAATTAAAATTAAATGTGAGAATCACCCTGTTGCCCTGAGCACCAACCCCCCAGCTACTCAGCTGTGTGAGCAGGCTCAGTATGTGAGCTCCCGAGAGCCGAGACCTTTTATTTTAGCTCTGGTGAAGCAGACCATGCTCACTATTAATGCTATATTAGTTATTAATGTGTAATGATATTGCTGTCACTGGAGTTCAGGTAAATGTTCGTTCAAGTCAACCTATTTAAAGCACAGAGATGCCTGCCTCTAGTGTAGAACAGGAATTTTTCCATGCTGAAAGTATTTCTTTTTCTGTGTGATTTAAGTAATTTGCCTGTGCAAAGACCAGTTCTTCTGCCCCAGGAGAATCAATAATGTGGCAGCTGAAGCACACGCTTGCTCTGGTTGTAGTTTCAGTCCAACTCTGGGAAATTCTCTACACAAACTCTAAACTTAAGTCAGAAGCATAAGAAAAGTAATTTTCCAATGGGTCAGTATTTTTGCTCAAAAAAGCATTCAATTTAAAAACTCCAGCTCTGTGATCATTTTGGAAAATGAGATTATCTTCTTGCCCAGCCTCCAAAAAGGCAACCGGTAGCGCTATAGTCAGCTGAAGATGAGGACACATGTTAAGGAGTCTGATCCAATTCCTGGACTCCCAAGCCATCGGCTTTAGTGCTGCTCTTTTTGTGCTGCCATAGCAGCATATCAGATGCCTGCACACCAACTCCTTGTTCTTCACTTTCAGGTTAGTAGTGCTCATGGGGGATTGGCCTGACTTGGGTTACAGGCCCTGGCAGTAGACTTGTGCCTGTCAGCACGGGAGGCTGCGGTTTGTGCACATGCGTGTGTATACGTGCACATGGCTTGCTCAAGGTTTTGGGAAATGTTGACATTTCAGCAGTCACAAAGCTCGTTGATCAAAATTCCCAGCTTTCTCCTACCACCCCCTTTCTACTGGGTTTGAATGAATTCCAAAAAAAACAAAGTAAAACCCTGCAGACATTGACAGATTTCTTCTAGTTTCTGCTCAAAGCTGTGCAGGATCACCAAGCAGCACATGATTTCCATCTGACATTACAGGGAGGATCAAAATTTGTAAAGAACTTCAGCAAAAACTTATCTGGTTTTATTACAGCAGGCCTTGCCATGAGTATATATTTTATTTCTTCATAACAATGATTAGTTTGATAAATCACAACCTGCAGCAATTCACTCATTTAGTCACATAAGAACAAGGTATTTTCCATTTGCAAAACGAGCTACATCATGTGCTACAGGTGCAAAAGTACCGAATAGAAACAGCAGATGCGGTTTCAAGGGTAAAGCTGGTAAATCAGCCTGAAAATAATTCCTACAGCCATTTGCAAGCCATTGGAAACTCGATATGGAAGCATATAGGTATATGGAAGCCTATGGATCTCTAGTGGGCAACGCAGAAGAAAGATCAGTTGAAACTTAAGAAACAACAGAAGTCCTAAAAATGAATTGTACGGAGTTCAGTACAGATCACAAAGAGGCAGCACAGGGCAAGAGATAACGGCCTTAATCTGTGCAAGGGAAGGCTCAGGTTGGATATTAAGAAACATTTCTTCTCAGAAAGAGAGGTGATACACCAGAACTGCCCAGGAAGGTGGTGCACTCTCCATCTCTGAAGGTATTCAAGAAACGTGGAAATATAGCGCTGAGGGACACAGTTTAGTGGTATTGTGGCAATGGATTGATGATTGGACTAGATGATCTTAGAGGTGTCTTTCCATCCTTAATGATTCTACAAGCACAGTGAATGAGCACCCAGGAGCTCTCCTCAACCTGCTTGCAGGGGTACTGCATTTTTGAGTTTTCACTGACAATCACGGACAGCACGCTGGCTTTGGAATAGCTCTGCCATGCTTCCTGTATCAGTTACACGCGAAGGACTTACTAGTGTTTTCCTTTCAATAAATAAGTAAAATATTTTGTCCTTCAAAACCCCTTGGCATTGCTGCCAAAATTTCTTGGAGGGCTTGTACTTCTTTTTTCTTGTAATACTGGGCTCTTTCTCTGGTCTTAAAAATCACAGCTCTGCCATTTACGTAGCATAAATTATAGGAAGGCATAAAAGAGCTGACCTGACATGGCCTAAATGCAGTGAGATACAAGAACGGCACTGAATTCAGCTCAAAGTTCTGATCATTCAGTAGCTCGATTTGGAAATGAGCCCCAGTGAATATGACCACCATCACCACCAAGCTGCAGAAGCCCTGCCAGTTGCTCATTTTGCTCACACAACTGTGTGCTTTAAAACCAAGTTAATTGGTTAGAAGGGGCAGAACAAGAGATCAGCATCATTTACATATAAATGATTCTCAGATCCAAGCAAAACTGCAAATAGACTGCAACCTGTGCACAATTACCTAAGTTCTACAGCACAGAACAGAGATCAAAACTCCAAATTATCTAAGGCTGCCAATATACTGCAAATCTTTAACTCAGAGAAAAGCAGCTTTGCTTTAGAACACATTAATAGAAGGATTCTTCAGATAATATTTCATGATACAATTTTCGTTCACAGATGAGCAGTGACCTTTAGAAATCAACAACACTATTACAAACTGGAGCATATAATCTTGAATATTTTACTTTACTTAAAGCTTTCTTTACCCATGTTGTGCTTTATGAAGACTTAAAAATAAATTTTAAGTAAGAAATCAATTTTTATTCCTTAGCTTCCAATCCCAAATATTCACAAGATTTTACCAACTTCAGTTCCATGAAGCATGGCCCCAGCACGGTGCTGGGAATGAATATTTCCACTGTTCCTAAGGTAGCAAACTGCAGCCATGGAAACATCTCTTTCCTAGAAGAAACCCAAAGCAATACTTCATCTTTTTTTCTCTGCTGCACTATTTATAGAGAAGGCACTAATGGCAGAAAACTAAGTTTTGCCATCAGTCAGACCAGAGCTGCATTTCCAATGTCCACGGGGGAGTAATTGCATCTCCCAGAGGAACCTCTCTCTGTTCCCAGAGCATTTACTAGCAAGAAAAAGAAATGGCCAATTTTTCCTTTTTTTCTTTTATTTCCCAGCCCTTAGACAGAGGCTCAGTCCCCTGGAGGGGGAATTATGCATGACCAGGGGAAAATCATGGAAGGAATTTATTTACAGATTAAAAAAAAATATGTACAAGTGAGGGGTTCTTTCTTTTCCTTCCCTATTTCCTTCTCTTCTTTTTTGGTCTAAAATGACAATGTCGAATTGACAAGCACTCTGTATCAGGCACTGGGACAATCCAACACAGATGTCCTCTTCCCTTCTGCTTTCTCTGCATCTTCTTGGTGCTTCCAGACACAGGAGACTGCTTTTTTCAGATGACTTAAAAGTGTTTTTCTATCATAAAAGCTTGTGCAAAGCAGACCATTTCAGGCAAGAGTATTTGAGATCACTTCCTATCTCCTTTTTCCCTGATGTTTTTTTTTTTTCTTTCTGCACCTAAGTATTCAGCCTATAACCCACCTCACTAAACAATGAACATGCCTTTTAAGAGACACAATGATTTTTCTGTCCCATGCATGCAGATAGATAGATGAGTAGCTTTCTCAAAGCAAGCCTGCCGTTGGAGCAGAACTCAAGGTACAACTAATCCAAGGGGTTCAGCTTCTGCAGGAGTACAGCATTCCATTTTTTATTTTTTTTATTTTTTTATTCTACTGAACAATAGTGCAAGTTGTATTTATATAGCAATGAGAAAGAGTAGGCAACTTTTGAAAGAAGCAGCAAAAAATCCTAAACTCTTCTTCCCTATCACATAAATGCATCTTCTGG